AATGTCTGTTTCCTTCCCCCGATTGGGGAAGTTCTTTGCTATAATTTGTTCAAGGACTCCTTCAGCACCTTTCCCTCTCTCTTCCTCTACTGGAATTCCTATGACACAGATATTGTTCCATTTGACTGTAATACTGAGCTCTCGAACTCTCCTTTTGTGCTCCTGGATCGGTTTATTTCTCTTATACTTGGCTTCCTCTTTTTCTATAATTGTGTCTTCTAATTCACCTATTATCCTCTCTGCCTCTTCAGTCTGTGCATTGGACGCCTCTATTTTATCATGCACCTCATTTATAGCATTTTTAAATTCATCACAACTATTTTTAAGCTCCATAGTCTTTGTAACAATAGCTTCTCTGATGTCTTCCATGCCTTTTTCAAGCCCACCAATTATTTTTATACTATTGTTCTAAATTCTTGTACAGTTATGTTGCTTATATCCGTTTTGAGCAGTTCTTTAGCTGTCAGTTCTTCCTGGAATTTCTTTAGCGGAGAGTTCTTCCGTTTCATCATTTTGGCTAGCTTTCGGTCTCTTGTTAGTTTTAAAAGCTTGTTATGTGCTCTGCACCTACGAGTACTGCTCTATTAAAGAAGGCTCATTGATTGTCCAGGGCCTGCCCCTTCAGGAAGTGTTCTTTAAATGGTGTCTCTTGGTCTCTCTTGCTGAGACTTTGGTTATTTTATTTCCCTACTTGTAGTGGTATTTGGGACTTTATACCATGTGTACTTTGACTTCTTTTTTAATTTAAAATTTTTAAAAAAATTTCTGAGAGACAGAGAGAGAGAGAGAGAGAGAGAGAGAGACAGTGAGAGCAGGGGAGGGTCAGAGAGACAGAGAGAGAGAGACAGAATCTGACGCAGGCTCCAGGCTCTGAGCTAGCTGCCAGCACAGAGCCTGATGTGGGGCTCGAACCCATGAACCATGAGATCATGACCTGAGCCGAAGTCAGATGCTTAACCGACTAAGCCACCCAGGCACCCCTGGCTTGTTTCTTAAAGTAGCCCTGGGAAAGAAAACAGACAGACAAACACACAGAGGACAAAGATATGCAAACGCACAGACAAATCCAACAAACAAGCAAACCAAAAGGGAAAAAGAAAAAAAAAAAGGTGGAAAAAAAAAAAAAAGAAAGAAAAGAAAAAACCCAAAAGACAAAGGACAGTCTAAAAGCATAAAACCAGAATTTTCAGCTACAAATAAAGAGCAGGGCGTATGCCAGTGCTGATTGAAGAGCTTATACAAAGAGAGAAATGACAGGGGTGAGGAGAAAGCGAAATTGGACAGTGACCAGGCAGAGAGACTAAGAGGCTTAATTTAGAGAGAGAAAGAGGAGAATATGGTAGGAGGCGAGGAGAAAGAAACAAAGATAATGTTACTCAGAGAAACTATATAGTCTGATTACTCCAGAGAGAGAGAGAGAGAGAGAGAGAGGTAGCTGTGGAGGTATAGAATATACATCTAGAGAATGGATTACATGTGACTGTTTAAGCAAACCAATGACCAGAGTGCCCAGTCCAGCAGAGGAGAGGGATACAAGTGAGACAAGAGAAAATATATTTGAATAGAAAGAGGTGATCTAGAATTAATCACGGCTGTACATCCATGCTGGTCTTGCCCCAGGCTCTGGTAAAAAAAGCAAGCAGCTCTCTAGCGGGGATGGGTGTGGTTTGGTGTAGGAGGGTCTTAGCCTCCACTGCGTCACCCGTCCCTCCAGGCTGCTCCCTGAGGTCCCACCCTGATGGTTGTGGGGAGAAAAATGGCGGCGTCCCAGCTCCTTCTGGAACCAAATGTTTCAAATCGCTCTTGGGTCCCATCTCCTTGTGCCATGGGCGTAGCCAAGGTGGGCCATGTTCTATGTCCCAAGCCCCACCTCCTTACCAGATCTTAGTCTGCAGGCTTTATTGATACCGCCGGAAATATAAACCTGCAGGCCAGGTCCTTCCCAGCTAGGAATGGAGCCAGGAGAGCAGCAGAGCAGTTTCAGGCTTGGCCACTTCCCTGTTGGATTGGGCGGGGAGAGCAGCGGAGCTGGTAGGATCAGGGCCCCATCCTTCATGAGGGTGCTCTGCCCTCCTGTTTCCTAGATCCACAAAGCCATGAGGGTGCATGCTTTTTCCCATGGGCACTTCTCTACTCATTGGGCATCTGTTAAAAGTAGCCAGTGCCCCTCTGCTCTGGTTCCCACCCCAGTGAGTTAAGATGCCCCCAGAGGGGAGATGTTAGCTGGAGAGGAAACTTCAGGTATCTGCTCTCTTCTATGGGCCTTCTCTAACCATAGCTCTAGGTGACTTGGCCTGCGGCAGTAGTGCCCCATAGGAAAAAGGCCATTTCAGAAAGGAATTACAATGCAGGTGCATAGGATTCCAGATCTAGGCAGGCCTTCGCCACTTGGACAGGCTGATATCATGCCCTGTAGGTAGAGAGTCAGGGGACTGACTCACACCATAGAAATTCAGAGGGTGGATGTGGGGCCTAGTGTAGCTAAGGCTCTGGGGTTGGTCTGCATTCCCAGAGTTTGCTGGGACAGAAGATGCACAAGTGTTTTCTGAGGACCAGATTTAGGAGCTGCATACATACACACAAGAGGCTTGCATGGAGTATTCTGCTAATAATGTGCATTTCCAATTAATAATCAAATCAAGCAATTTATCATATTTGTACAGCCAGTTGTGTGTCCCCAACAGGTAAAGATGAAGATCATGTTAACAGTTCAGCATGGCCTAACTAATCATTTGGGACACAAAATGCATTATGATTTATAGGTAAAACATTCTGTCTTCTCCATACACTCTATCACCCTGCACTGCATGTGCTGATGGTCACCAGAAGCCTCTGCTCAGGGAGGGCAGCAACAGAAACTGCCCTCAGAAGACAGAAGTGGTTGAGGAGGCTTACCCTATAGGAAGGAGGGCAAGTGGGTTCTCAGGTTAGGTGTGAACCAGATCTAGGAAGAAGCAACTCAAGAATGAATCCCCATGACAGGTCAGAGCTGGGGCAATAGTTCAACCTGGGCCTGGCCTTGTACCTATGCAAGAAGAAGGAACAAAACAAGAGGCTCAATGTCCTGCTAGGCATGGGAAAAAAGCACTTTCAGAACAAGTTCCTGGTATGGGGCGGCTGGCATGTGGACAGCTGGTGGAGGGTAGGAGGAGAGCATGGCCATAGGTGTGGCAGCACGAGGTAATGACTCTGGCCTCTATCAGGTGCTCAGCCTGGACTGATGAGGCCAGAATGGGGGCGGGGACCACCCTGAGCTTTGGGGGCAGAACAGATTCTGGGAGAGGCACCAGGATTACCTATGAGGCCAATGTTTGGGTTCTACAGGAACTCAGGCAAGGGAAACTGCAGTTGGGAGAAATCTCAGCACCCCTGCCCCATGCAGGGCCTGGTGGCCTGGGAACTACTGTTCTAATGTGAAAGCAAGTCTGTGGAACCTAGTGGAGATGCTAACAGGCTCTCCCCAGGGCACCTGTAGTAGCATTTCCACGCAGGTGTCTTCTGGTGCTGGGTTGGGGGCAGTGGGTGAGGAGCTGGCAGCCAGCTGCCACCTGTGGCTTCCCAGGCCCTGAACCTAAATGCTCTAGGCAGGCACCTGGATGACACAGCCACAGCCTTAAGAGAATCCCACTCATTTTTTCTAAGCAGGCTCCATCCTGCCCTGCAGGCCCAGGTTTCCAGACAACTATCACTTTCTGTTTATATTCTGAATAACTTCCAACAAGACCTAAAACAGCCATAACATTTGAGGGCTGAGAGGGAGCTTAAAGGTTATTAACTCTCTCATTTTACAGGTAAACTGGCCCAGAGAGCTTAAATACCTTGAGCCTCCTTCATCGCCTCCTTCTGGGTTAAGAAGGGGGCCTTGGTGGCGCCATTTGAGCTGTGCTTGGTGGCAGGGTCTGCTTTTTACTTCAGCCTCGGTGGCAGCTGGCCCCTTCCTGCCCTACTAGGACTTCCCTGAACTTAGAATGAGGCCGATTAGTACCTTCTCCCCCTCAACTCCAGCCTTAGCTGTAATTCCAGGCTATAGGATTAGATTAAATTAAATTAAATTAAATGCTTTATGTACACTATCACACTTACTAACTCACGCTTTTCAGAAGTGGTGATCCAGGTTATTAATGTTGGTTCCATGTGTGATGATAAACATTCCGAGGCTTCAATCCTGAAAAGAGGGTGGCTGGAGCTGGAGGAAAATCCACCCAAGGCTAGAGGCCACTGGGAAGTTGGAATGAGGCAAAGAGATGGCTTTGGACCTGAGGTGCCTGATCCGCTGGGAGTGTCTGGGCATCCCGAGCAAGTACCCTAACCAGACACCCTTTCCACAAAGCCCATGGCAGAGCTCTTGTCACATCCTGCTGTGTCTGTAAAGACAGGCTACATTTCATGCCCAGGGCTCATTTCCCTTGACTGATGCTTTTGTTTGTGTTTGTTTATTTATTATTTTTTTAATGTTTATTTTTGAGAGACAGAGACAGAGTATGAGTTGGGGAGGGTCAGAGAAGAGAGGAAGATACAGAATCTAAAACAGACTCCAGGCTCTTAGCTGTCAGCACACAGCCTGATGTGGGGTTCGAACTCACAGGCCACGAGATCATGATCTGAGCTGAAGTCAGAGGCTTAACTGACTGAGCCACTCAGGCGCCCTTTGACTGATGCTTTTATTTTATTTATTTTTATTTTTTTTAAATGTTTTATTTATTTCTAGGAGAGAGAGAGAGACAGCGTGAGCAGGGGAGGGTTAGAGAGAGAGGGAGTCACAGACTGAAACAGGCTCCAGGCTCCGAGCTGGCAGTCAGCACAGAGCCCGACGCGGGGCTTGAACCCACGAATCGCGAGATCATGACCTAAGTGAAAGTCGGATGCTCAACCAACTAAGCCACCCAGGCGCCCGACTGATGCTTTTAGATCGAGACTCCCATCTACCTCAGGAGAGACACTGCCTAGCTCCCTGCATATCTCTAAATGGTAAAGAAATGACTCTTTGCTGCTTGCTTTACTATGACTCAATCAGAAGTTATTTATTTTCTAAAAGTATAAAAACATACAAAAGGGGACTCACTCGTGGCTAGAATTCAGAAATGATACCATGTGACAAACACCCTGTGGGCAAGGCCGCTGTGGACAACATATTGCTCCCAAACCATCCATAATCCTAGTTACCACTGCTACTACTTCTAAATTACACATGGAAAAAGAGTTAAGTTTTATTAAACCAGACTCATAAAAGTAAGGACTGTGCTTCTCCAGGTTGATAAAATAGAATTCCAACGCTCTGAGGAAAATATTCTTATGTCAGTTCCAGGGAACTTTTCTCCCCAAGAGCTGATTGGTCACTTTCTGTGGAAGAAAAGAAAGACAGGAAAGAAGTTACTCTTGCCATCAGAGGCAGACAGCCACCCCAGACATGCTGCTGAAGAGACCAGTGAGGTTCTACCCAAATCTCATTTATCTTCCCCAGCTACACAAACCATGGTAGTTATGCAAAAAATTCTTCTTGAAGTGGTTAGGAAACATGATCTATAAAATCATTTATCTATTATGTCTATATCAATATATAAATACATTTATGATCTGGATAGACTCATTCATCTATCAGTTCAAACATACAAGCACAATGAGAGGCCTGGCCTGTGACGTTGACACACTGGCTGGGCCATGTGGTGCCTGGGGGCCCCCTCCTCAAGGGGCCTGGCCTGGCCCAGCTCCGGGTGTGCTCCAGAAGCAGTTCTCCAATCCCACATCGGTCTGGCATAAACTCGTCTTTTGTATTCTGACTTTCAGAGTCCTCTGGCGGTGAAGTGAAGTGGTTGGGAAGGAAATGAGAACAGTGAAGGATACAGACCTTCAGGCATGGAAGCCCGACTGGCTTTTCAAGGAATATATTGGTAGCAAGTCCCCCCGCCTCTGAGGGTCTGGGACTTGCAGTACCACTGATTCCACTGGGGCCACAGGCAGGAAATGGTAGTGGCTTCCAGGCTCTGACTCCCCAGGCTGTCAACTCTTATGCCACACTCGGACATTGTCCAGTTTATTTTACAAGCTCTTGAGGTATGTGATTTACCAATAAGGGACACAAAACTATCACTGGGGATTCTAAAATGAAAATTCAACAATTCTGATAGATTTGAACATATCCACCATGACTCCTAAGTATAGAATTTAGTTTTGTTCCAAATGTATGCCTGGAAGGTGCCTTTTTTAGATTTGCCTTTTTAGATTTTTAGGTTTGATGTCTAGTCACAGGTGTCTTTATCTTCCAAACTTCAGCAGTGGTACAATGCATTACAAGCTTAAGGCTACTCCCCAGATGTGCTTAATTCCAACAGGTCAGATTTGTTTCTCTCAATTTCTCTTTCCCCTGATACACTTGATGGATGTTGCTCAGGGACTGACTGACCTTCTTGAATAGTTGAGCTCGTAGCCGGTATGACTTATATTCCAATCTTCTCTTCTCCTCTTCTTTCTTTCTCTGCACTTCTGGAAGCTGCTCATAAATCCTTAGGAATGGTGCCAGTGAGAAGATAAAAAGCAGTGAGTTTACCCGACCACAGAGGGACATGATCTCTTCTCCCCCATCTCCCTAAGTTCTGCTGCTTTCAGGACACTCAGCCTTGTGGGCCTGCTTCCTGTTAGACACCTGGACACAAAGAACCCTGGCTTGGGGTGCTCATGATCTGGGAGGGGAACAGATGAATAAAAACGTTAAGAAATCCTGCTTATAGGGGTTACTTGTTCTTGAGAAAGGAGTGGGATAAAAGGGGGGAGATAAGTTTTTACTCTACATGCAAAAATGTACAGTTTCAATATGAGATAACAAACATGTATTAACTAGTAAATTTTTAAACACACAAGAAACAATGGTAAACAAAAGTACAATAATGGTCCATGTACAGAATGTTACACAGAGTTCCAATAAATGAAAGGTGGGTCTTAAAGATGGGAGCAGAGAAAGGACAGGAGGAGAAGGGAATATTGGTAAGGAGTCAAGGCCTCACAGAGAGGCATGCAGGGGAGCAGATGGGAAGCAGGTGAGGTGAGGGGAGGTGGGCTGTGGAGTGTCTTGTAGCCATGTGAAAACCTTGGGCTCTGTCCTATCAGGGACTGGGGGCCACAGATTTTAAGTTTTATTTAGTTATTTTGAGAGAAAATAAGAGCAGGGGAGGGGCAAAGAGAGAGGGAGAAAGAGAATCCCAAGCAGGCTCTGTGCTGTCAGTACGGAGCCTGACGTGGGGCTCGATCCCACAAACCATTAAGATCGTGACCTGAGCCAAAATCAAGAGTTGGACATTAACTGACTCTGCTACCCAGGCGCTCCTGGGTGCCACTGATTTTAAGTAGAGAGGAACATGATTGAACATCTATTTGATAAATATACTCTAATTGGAAATAATGTGAATTTGTAACAAAAGTACAGTTAAATAGACTATGGAATATAATGGAATTATTACAAAGCATAAAAAAGATGTATCAAAAAAATTTTAATGATATGGGAAAATGTTCACAATATGATGTTTTACAAAATAGAGTAGGCTACAAATCTGTATGTATAGTATGAGCGACAATTTGAGGAAAAACTAGTGTGTTAACACAGGTTTCTGCAAAACTCCCATTACTGCCAGAAATAGGACTAGAGTCAGTTCAGTTTAGATGGAAGGATTGTTAGTGATATTTACTTTCTTCTAATTTTCTCTATACTTTCCAAAGTTTTCTATAATTTGAAAAAATATCATTGAAAGTGATGTAGAGGCTCTGTGGAAAATAAGTGAGAAAAACTCAGAGGAGCAGAGCAGAAGTAGGAAGAACAGCAGTCCCCAGAGAGCAGAGGCCAGAGCAGGTCCCAGAACAACAAGCCAGGCCTCCAGGATGTGCTAATGGGCTGCCTGTGGAGCGGTGGTGACATGGGCAGAGGTGACTGCTCGCCAGCTTTCTAGCTGGAAGAGTGGCTGGCCCAAGCAAGTGTGGGAGTGGGCCACACTTGGTGGAGATGATCACTAACTTAATTCCAACAGGAAATTAATGCTGTGAAAACACAGCACTGGAAGGTCAGGAATGAGACCAAGAGGAATAAATATACATTTTTAAAAGTCACTGTTGATGAAAACCACAATGTGGTATCACCTCACACCTGTTAGAATGATTATTATTAAAAAAGGCAAGAGATATCATATGTTGGTGAGGGTGGAAATGTAAATTGGTGCAGCCAGTATGGCAAATGGTATGGTGGTTCCTTGAACAATTAAAAATACAAGGACCATAAGCAACCTAAGTGTCCATCAATAGACAAATGGATAAAGAAAATGTAATATATTATTATATTATTACTCAGTCATAAAAAAGAAGGACATTTGCAACAACATAGATGGATCTTGAGGACACTATGCTAAGTGAAATAGAGAAAGACAAAACTGTGTGATTTCACTTAACATGTGGAATCTAAAACATCAAGCTCACTGAAATACAGACGAGGATGGTGGCTGCCAGGGGCTGGGGGCCAGGGAATGAGGAGATGTTAGTTAAAGGGTACAAACTTTCAGTTATAAGAGGAGTTCTGGAGATCTAAGGTACAGCAGGGGGACTCTAGTTAGCAACGCTGTATTGTGTACTTTAGTGCTGCTATGAGAGCAGACCTTTAATGTTCTCACCATAACAATAAGAACACTGCCACCACCACCACCACCACCAAAATGGAATTATATGTGGTGGATGATGTGTTAACCAACCTTTGCATGGTGAACATACTGCCATATATACATGCATCAGATCATCACATTACATACTTTAAACGTATACAATGCTATGTCAATTAAATCGATGGCATTACCATGGAATATAAGCATATCTCTAATTATTTGCCAATGCATGCACAAAATTCAACAAGTATAAAAAGGCAAAAAATTAGTCTTTGTCTTACCTCTGTATACCAGTAACTCAGTTCTTTTTCCTAAAGGCAACCACTAATACCAGTTTTTTGGTATCCTTTCAGAGATAATTGTATGCATATAAAAGTATATATAGTACTTTAAAAAGTACATAAATACTTTTTAAATATTTGATTTTAAAATATTCATATGTTACATTTTAGATTATTTATATTTGGGTTTCTAACAAGGACAAGCCTGATTAAGGCATGGAAATTAGTGGGGATTCTTTGTATCTTTTGTATCTGACTCATCCATACCTATCTGCTATCTATGCCATAGATAGTGCCTTAGGTGGGAACCTACTTTCACAACTAATTTTCTCTCTCTCTCTTTTTTTTTTTTTTTGAGAGAGGGAGAGTGTTCATGCACATGGTGGGAAAGGGGCAGAGGGAGAGGGAGAGAGAAGCTCCACACTCAGTGTAGAGCCTGACTTGGGGCTCAATCTCACAACCATGAGATCATGACCTGACCCAGAATCAAGGGTTGGACACATAAGTGACTGAGCCTCCCAGGTGACCCCTCATAATGCTTTAACTTGAGCATAATGCTTTCATTCTGGTGGCAAGCCACAGCTCCTGATCGCTTGGCCTGATATGTACTTTTAAATAATTACTCTTACTCTTTTGGCCTTACCGTTTAGACCTTTGAATCATTTCCTTCTTTCCAATAGGCCTGTTCTTTTGGGCATCCAGGAAGCCTAAGAAGGAGAAGAAGGGATTTTCAGTGGATAGTATTTTAATAAGGAAGGCTGTGTTAAGAGCTCTGAGAAAGAGCTGCTAGGACTTTGTGTCCCTTGAGCTTGACAGTAATGGGTGGGGAGCAAGGGCCAAGGCCACGGCCAGGGTTAGACTATGGGGACTGTGAGAGCAGCCTGAGGCTCCTGAAGACACCACACTCTGTGGCACGGACTAGAAAGTGTGAATGATAACACCAGCCAGTTTATAGGTAAGGCTGTGATGAAAGCATTAGGTAGCACTTTGTAGTTTTCACAGCTTTCATATATTATGTTACTGAGACCTTACACCTAGAATTGCTAGGAACACACAATCTGGGGCCAGCCCATTTGGGTTCAAATCCCAGTATCAGGTGTATAATCTTGGGCAAGGGGCTTAGGTTTTCTTTGTCTGTTTTCTCCTCTATAAAATAAGGATATTAATAGCATGTACCTCAGAGAGGTGTTATATGTTTAAACAAGAACAGTGCCTGGGCAAAACACATAAGGGTTACATAGTATCATCAGCATCACCACCACCACCACCGCCACCGCTCCTTATGAGGTAGGCAGTCCTGGAATCAGTCCCATCTTTGAAGAAACCAACACTGGACTTTCAGAACTTGCTTCCATACACACAGCTGGGTTACAAACACCCCATTCTCCTGGCGCTCCCTTGAGTCCCAGCTGCAGCGGCAGAGTGGCAGGGCGACAGTGCCCGGGCTGCTCCGGATCACGAGCATGCTGACAGCTAAACCAGGCAGGGTCTGCTGCCTAAGGAGAGCTGAGTCTCCGCAAACAAAAAGTCCCTTTCTGTCCCTGTAACTGGTCTGGCATCGAGCAGTGTTCCCTGGTGTGAAGTGGACCTTGCCCCCTCCAGCCAGTGACAGGAAAGCGAACAGGCAGAGGGTACCTCTCTTCAGGAGCCAGCACGTGGGCTCCCGGCAGCCCTGCCATTCTCTCACAGTGTTGAACAGTGCCTCCCGCTCACTCTGTAACATGTTCTGTAGCTTCCTCTCCTGGACTATTAACTTCAGACGCTTTATTCGCTCCCCAGAGCGGGAGATGAAGTCGGGTCTGTGAAGCTGAAGAGATTCCTAAGGAGGAGAAAAGGCCCTCAAATCTCACATTAATGGTGCAGTTTGTTCTCCAAGGGCCTAGAAAACAGGTCTTGCTCAACAGTGGTTTGAAGAGCCTGTTTCTTTCTTTCTTTTTTTTTAAAATTTATTTCTGAGAGAGAGAGAGAGACAGCACAAGCAGGGGAGGGTCAGAGAGAGAGGGAGATACAGAATCTGAAACAGGCTCCAGGCTGTCAGCTCAGAGCCCGACGCGGGGCTCGAACCCACAAACTGTGAGATCATGACCTGAGCCAAAGTTGGACCCTTAACCAACTGAGCCCCCCAGGTGCCCCTGAAAAGCCTGTTTCTAAAGTGCAGAAAATATCTAGAGTTGAAGAATAATCCAACAACTCTCTGCGGGGAGAGCTCCAGTAGGTAAATCAGAGGGATCAAAGAATGCCTTTGGAATAAGCTAAGAACTAAGACTCTGGCAATTATAACTCTTCCAAACGTTGATGGGCTAAAGCTCATACCACTGTGCTATTTTAAATTTTCCCTTCAAACAAATATATTATTAAGTAACATTTCTTTTAGCTCCCAAGGTACATATAAAGAAGAGACTTCATGCCTCTTATATCCGTGCTAAGCAGGCATGGGAGTTATGTAAATGGAAGAACACACATCAGGTCTCCAGAGCACCCCACATGCAGGCATCTATGCGCCCAGTGGGCAGCACCACAGCACCCTCCCTTCTATTGCCTTGTCCCCGGGTTCAGAGGTCAATGCACAGTTTAAAACGGTTGACAGTAAGGCAGCCTTTGAATAGTGAGGACACTGGCAACAGATGAACCGTGGAAGTGCTAGAAATGAGGGTTAGAAGACTGGTCTTCAGAAGGCCAAGTCACACATTTAACTTCTTCATATCTCCCCTTTCTTCCCCCCTTAAACATATGGCTAAAATGAACTCCATGTCACTGCACCTGGAGGGTTGCCTTCACAAATGGCCTCGGTGGATCTCTGCCTGGGCCTGCTAGTGACCCATGGATGTCCATGTGCTGTTCCTGCCAGTTCTGTTCCCGCAGTGGCTCCCTCCATGGTTTGGTGTTGGTTATTGGCGCAAACCAGCAAATACCAGGGCCATGAAGCTTGGGCAGGTTTTCCTTCTTAGGACCAGACTTCACATTTTCCACAGGAACAAACCATGAAACTCCTATGGGAAATATTTTTAAGAAAAGAAAAAAGATTTTTTCGTTCTTCTCACCAAAGACATGTGTGTAACATAGGCTCTCAGGGGACTCAGCTGTCAGAGGCTACCAGAACGCCCTGGAGTTTGCTTAACTGCAGGTGTGACTATAATTATAGTGCTAGATACTATGAAAATTTGCCAAGGTGGTGCTAGGCGGGGAGATGGGGTCAACACAGAGTCATTAGAAATAAAGAATCTTAGCATTGCAAGAGACTTGAACTTCACTAGTTCTCCTGCTACAACACTGGAATTAAAAACTGACCTTCACTGCAACTCTGCTTGTTCTTCCTTAACTTTTTGTCCCCACGATAGCTGGTGAGAAGATTTTTCTCTTCTAGTTTTTCTTCTGACCAAGAAGTCACATCGCTGTATTCTTCTACTCTAGCCTCGCTAGAGCTTGGAGTTGGGAAAGTCATCCCAACATCTCGGGTGTGTTTTTTGACACCATTTACGATCTCCAAGTTACCTGAGGGGAAAGAGCCACACATATCCTGGGAGCAGTCTTGAGACTTAGTTGGCATGTGTATTCAATTCAGTAAATGAAAGCTTTTTAAGCCTTCAAAAATGCAGGCTATTGCCTCCTCTGGGTGGTGTGGAGGGGTGTAAGGGACAGAAACAGAGAGGAGGGAAGGGAGAGAGAGGAGGGAGGGAGAGCAGAAGAAGAAAGGAGGTTTTTTATTTCTTAGTCAGTTTTGATATTAGAGGGAAAAAGCCACTCACATGGATTCAGTGGGTAACAGAGTTTAGTTCTGATCCCAAGTAAGAAAGACAGTAAATGCTTACAGTCCTCGGGGCAGTCATCCAGGTAAGAAAGAGGTTGACAGATATAAAGACAAGACTTGAGGTAGAAAAAAATCAGGGGAGAAGTTTACTTCTGTTATATAACATCAAAAGATATAGAAAAACATACGTGAAAAGCATCCTTCCCATTCCTATTCTCCATTCATTCAGTTTACAACCCCCTGGTTTCAGACAATTTTTTGCACACGTTTAAGCAACTTTCTTCCTTAATTTTTAAAGCACTTTGCATTTTCTTTTTAATCATCTCTGTTGGAGATCTTGCCATAGTAGCAGAGAGAGTTTCCTCATCCTATATTTCGTTATATGGATGTATGATAATTTATTTAAACATTTGGCTATTGATGGACATCTAAGTCGATTTAAATTTTCTGTTATAATAAACAATACATTAATTCTCTCCACTTGTCATTTTGTGACATACTGTGCATATGTGTATTTAGCACAATAGGATAGATTCCAAAAGTAAAAGTGCTAGATCAAAGTCATTTGAATACAAACTGCCAAGCTGCCTGTCATGGGGGTTGTACTCCCAACATGCATGTATGAGTCCCTACTCGTTTACACTAGTGCCCACAAACTGACTAGAGAATTTAAATTTTTGCCCATCTGATAGGTGGCAAATGGCATTTGAGTATAGGCTTAATCTTCATTTATTTTATTGTGAATGAGGTTGAGGATCTTAATATATGTTTAAGTTCTACTTGTATTTCAATGGAAATGTTTAAATTCAAGAAATTTACCTGCTTGTACGCCCTTGTTTAACATATGTACATTTTGCTTGTTGCAAAGGGTGGGACTTGGGCTCCAGAAACTACTGGTAGACGACGAAATAGAATCAGAAGAGATCACATGATCTGCCACCTGGAAAAACAAAAGGGACCCTGTTATCATCGCCTGCAGTCAACGGCATAGTGACCCAGAGAGTAAAGAACACATACAAGCCACCAAGAGCCCTTTCTAATTCAGTTCCACTTGTTGAGATAAAGTTGCCTTCCAGAAAACTTGTAACAACGTGAACTTCTACCACATAATTTATGATAGGGAGGTGAATGCTGCTGTGGTTGGATAAGGGCCTGAGCTGTCTTAAGAAGGTAAGCCAGGGGCGCCTGAGTGGCTTAGTCGGTTAAGCGTCCGACTTTCGCTTAGGTCATGATCTCGCGGTTCGTGGGTTTGAGCCCCGCGTCGGGCTCTGTGCTGACTGCCAGCTCGGAGCCTGGAGCCTGTTTAAGCCTGTGACTCCCTCTGTCTCTGACCCTCCCCTGCCCACGCTGTGTCTCTCTCTCTCCTAGAAATAAATAAAACATTTAAAAGAAAAAAAAAAAAAAAAGAAGGTAAGCCATAAAGACTGGGTATGTTCACAAGACTTGAAAAAGCTCCAAAGAGGATGCTAACCAAACATTAGCCTGTTGGGTTTTCAGAATGAAATTCTAACTTGACACCTGCAAAAGAATTTTGAGGAGAGATGAAGAGGGCCAGGAATGACTAAAGAGGGTGCTGTCCGTAAGATCAGGCTCAGATGCTTATACATGGGTAAATATACAAAGCTGAAAGACCCCATGAGAAGTCCCGAATAACTGGAATATTGCAAAAATTATTAAAAAGCCCAAAAGGCTTTTTCGGTTAGGTTCAGAGCAAGTAAAACAAAGAAGGGCAACTTCATGGATTGAAGTTGATGGTGGAATGCTAGTGAATGACAAAAAGATTATCAAAATGTAGTATAAAGCAGGATTTCTTAAACTTGCTCATCACAACAATCTCCTGGGGGATAGGTCCAAACGCAAAACAATGAATTGGGAGTCTGGGTATCTATATTTTGAATAAATGCCCGATGCTTGTCTACTTAAGCAAGTTTGGTAAAGGTGAATTGAAGGCCAACTCAGGGAAGGAAACTGAGAGTGTCTGCTCCTCTGAACTAAATAAACTATAGCCCAGGGCCTTTGGGAAACTTGAAACAGTTTCTTTCAGAAACTTGAAACAGAGGAGCAATGTTAAATGTCCTGGGACAGGGCATGTTCTGATTTTCAAAAAGGTAAGCATTGCAAACTGATGGGTTAACAATGGTGACATGTAAAATTCTAGAATGGATCACCCATTTTATAATTTACAAGCATTTGGAGGTCAAAGAAAAGAGAAGCCCATTTCAGCTAGTGCTCAGGAAGGCAGGCAGAACCAGCCCTGCCAGACTAGCCTGGTCTTCTAGTGGACATGGTTACTAACTAGTAGACCAAAAGAATGTGTAGTCGAGGACAGCGAGATTTGATTAAAATGATGAGACTTCTCCTGACATCTTTGAGGGCAAGATGGAGTTATGTGGGTTAACTGATAAAATAAGTTGGTATAACCACAGGAGGTTGAAGCATTCTCATCTAAATATTTATTATCAAAACAGAGAGAGACCTTTATTAATGAGTGGTATGTCTTGCATTCAACAGCAAATATCTATCAAGCACCTACTGTGTCCAGTTACTTGGTTTGCTCTGGCTATTCCTTCTTAACATTTTACATATCGATGTTTTGGAGATATGGGAAGCAGGATATTTCCTGTACAATGAGTATCTGGAGGGCCTAAATGACTGTCAAGATCCAAAATAATAAACAGGAATGATGGGCCAAATCCAACAAGGGATCATTGTAAAGTCCTATACATCTATTTTGTAGAAAATACAAAAGTCATATAAAACTATGAGACTACCGTGATGTTAAAAACAAAACAAAACAAAACAAAACGTATGAGTATAGGAAGTGTGGTGAGGAAGATACCACTGACTGGCAGTATACTATGCCTTCTCTGCAGCTATAGGAGGAGAACGCACGTTAGGTACCGAAATGGACTTCCAGGAAAGATTGTAAAGTATAAAAAGCAAAGTATGCTGCCAGGTCTGTGGGGGAAAAAAAAAAGGTCAAAAACATATGCAGGTTTGCTTTTCTTTTGATAAAATACCCATGAAAAAAACCCAGATTGGAAAGGCAACGGTTTTTTACTTGCAAATGACATGATTCTGTCCACATAAAATACTAAGGAATTCATAAAGAAGTATTAGAACTAGTAAGTTTATCCAGATTGCATATATAAGACAAGAAGATAAAATCAACTGAATCTCTGTATTCTAGCAATAAGCAATCTGAAAATAAAATTAAGGAAACCATCCCATTCACAACAACATCAAAAAGAATGAAATATTTAGGAATGAATTTAACAACAGAAGTGCAAGGCTTGTTCACTGAAAGCACTGGTGGGAGAAATTAAAGATCTAAATAAATAGTGAGACATTCCATATATGTAACTTTATTTTTTTTTATTTATTTTATTTTTTTTTAAATATTTTTATTTATTTCTAGAAGAGAGAGAGAGAGACAGAGTGAGAAGGGGAGGGTCAGAGAGAGGGAGTCACAGACTGAAACAGGCTCCAGGCTCTGAGCTGGCAGTCAGCACAGAGCCCGACGCGGGCCTCGAACCCATGAACCGCGAGATCATGACCTAAGCGAAAGTCGGACGCTTAACCGACTAAGCCACCCAGGCGCCCCAATATATGTAACTTTAAAATGGGCTAAAGACTTGAATAGATATTTCACTAAGGAAGATAGAAGAGTAGCCAATAAGTATATGAAGAGATGTTCAACATCATCAGTCATAAGGAAAATACAAATTAAAATCATAATAAGATACCACTTCATACCCACTAGTATGGCTGTAATAAAAAAGATGGCTAGGACCGCCTCGGTTGCCCAGTTGGTTAAGCATCCAACTTTGGTCACGTCATGATCTCACCATTCATGAGTTAGACCCCTGCACTGGGCTCTGTGCTCACAGCTCAGAGCCTGGAGCCTGTTTCAGATTCTGTGTCTCCCTCTCTTCTCTGCCTCACCCCCACTTGCACTCTGTCTCTCAAAAAGAAACAAACATTAAAAAATTTTAAAAAACGGCTAATACTAAGTGTAGACAAGGAAGTGGAGAAATTAGAACTTTTCATATATTGCAGGTGGGAATGTAAAAATATATAGTCACTTTGGGAAACACTTTGGCATTTTCTTAAGCATAAACTTCCCATATGACCTAGTAATTCTAATTTTCTAATTCTAAAAGAAAATATATGTCCAAACAACAACTTTTATACAAATATTCATAGCAGCATTATTATTATCCAAAAGATGAAATAATCCAAAAGTCCAACAACTGGTAACTTGATAAACAAAATGTGGTTTATCCATACAATACTAATCAGCAATAAAAAGGAACTACTGATACATGCTCCAATATGAGTGAACCTTGAAAACATCGTGCTAAGCCAAAGAAACCAGATGCAAAAGACTACATATTATATGATTCTATTTACATGAAATGTCCATAAAAGGCAGAAGGCAGATTAGAGGCTGTCTAGGGCTGGGAATGTGGATTGATAATAAGCAGGTAAAAAGGATGTTTCTGGAGTGACAGAAATGTTCTAAAACTGGGTTGTGGTGATGACTACACAATTCTGTAACTTCACTAAAAATAACTGCACACTTAAAATGGATGAATTCTATGGTAAATTATATTTTCACCAAGCTGTTTTATTTTTATTTCAAAAAAAATTTTTTTTAATGTTTATTCATTTTTGACAGAGAGAGAGAGAGAGACAGACAGACAGACAGACAGACACGGAGACACAGAATCTGAAACAGGCTCCAGGCTCTGAGATGTCAGCACAGAGCCCTATGTGGGGCTTGAACCCACGAACTGTGAAATCATGACCTGAGCCGAAGTCGGATGCTTAACTGAGCCATGCAGGGACTCCTCAACCAAGCTACTTAAAAAATCTGTGAAGATACGCAAGAATGAGTAACACGGAGTAGGTCTGGCAAGGAAAGCCAGGTATCTAAGGGACAGCAATGGGAAGGATACTTTCTCAAATACTCTTTTATATATTTAAAATTTTGTACCATGTGATTGAATTATCAGTTTAAGAAATGAAAATAAAACAAAAATGTATAAGGAAGAGTGTGGCAATAGAAGTTTCATGGCTCTGGTGAGCTCAACAGAAGTAAAACATATGTTAGGACAAAAAGTGTTCTAGCCACAGAAAGGAAGGTGATAAATCTGCTCTGTCAACACACTCTCACCATCTGAAGCACAACATGCTTAGTTCAAAGAGACATGTTTAAAACTAAGATATCAGCAAACTTAGTAGACCCAGGGAAGCTGCCAATTTATGGGAAGTGGGGTGGAGTAAGAAAACATGACCTGTAAAAAATGGTTCAGAGTGAAGACCTGAGAGAAAACAGTCTGGGAAGGAAGCGGGAACTCGAGAGGAAGATTAGACCTCTTTTCTGTGCCTTCTGAAAATAGAGCTAGGAACAGAGCCAGGTAGTGCAATGATTGCAGGTTTTGGGTTTCTAGAAGTTAAGACCTTCAATAATAGAGTCACACACATGAACAAGCTGCTCATGTGCAGCCAGGGAGCAGTGGAGCTGTCCGCAGCAGAGGCTGGAGTGCCCTATGATGCAGAGGCAGCAGAAATGACAGTTCCTTCAAGCCTGAGTCTCCTGAACATCCAAAGTATAAAACCAGTCACAGTATGCACCAATGGGTTAAAAAACACATATTTACAACTGGTTCAATGAGGAGACTTGGTGTGTGTTTCTGTTTCTAGTTCAAATCTCTTTTGGATTAATTCCTCCCTACAAAAAGTAAAATATTTAAAAATAGAAAAGAGTCTAAAAAATACTTCCTCTCAACAAAATAGATTTAATTAGATTTTTAGGATGTTAAAAATCAAAAGGACAGAAAAAGACAAGTGTTTTCAAGGATGTGGAGAAGTTGGAGCCCTCGTATACTCCTAGTGGGAATGCAAAATGGTGACAATACTTTAGGTAACAGCCTG